CATGGGGTTCCAACTCTGGGCCTATGACTGAATATCTAAATCTTTGCCAAGTCGCAGGCGAATTATGCAACCCATATGGCATTCTCCTAAACTGGAAGAGACCCCTACCTATTACCGTGAACGCCGTGCAGGGCCTCGGCCGCTCCTCCGCCGGCACCTGCCAATAAGCAGACTTAATGTCTAAAGTGGACAAGAACCTTGCGTCCCTGAGCTTGTCTAAGATCGCTGAAACATAAGGGAGGGGGTAGCTCTCATTCTCTGTGCATTTATTTAAAACCCTATAATCCACACTAAACCTATAAGACCCATCCTTCTTTCAGATCATAACTACAGGGGACGCCCAAGGACTATGTGACTTCTCAATGACACCCTTGTCGAGCATGTCTTAATTCCTCGTCAATACGCGACTGTATGACGGGAGACATGGGGTAATAACGCTGTTTAACAGGTTCGACCCCTGCCTTGATCCTAATCCTATGCTCGACAAGGTGGGCTCCACCTAACCCTTCTGGCATAGCCTTGAACGATCGGGCGACTATCTCCTCTAAGGCCCTAGCCTCTCTGCCAGTGGAGTGGTCCACTATCGCCGCCAGCGACTCCTGTTCCAGTTGAGAAAAGCTCCACCTCATCTTCATAAAATCCGGAATGATACCCGCCTTGGTCCAAAAATCGACACCAAGGATAAGACTCTGAGGCAAACCGGGGACTACGAGGCACTCCAGGAGGACGACTTGCCCTCCACCTCGATTGGCAACGAAACCGAACCTAAAACCGAAATATGGCCTCCATCCGCCAAAGTCACTTTTAGAGAGTTGGGTAAAGAAGTCGCGCTAATGCCCCAAGAACTCAAAATACTCTACCCGAATTTACCGATCACCGTCCTCGTCGCTCCAGAATCCAACAACGCTCGAAAAGTTCAACCAAAAATTCTTATGTCTAAATACGGACACTTATCGAAGCCATCCGCCACCAAAGAATATGCTAACTGAACATTCGACTCACCGAAGCCTACTTTTGCCAGCTGGGAATTAGCAGGATTACTAACTCGCCCTATTAGTCCACCCGACCTGCCGTCCCAGGGGTCTACCTCCCGTTCACCGACTTCTTTTGCGACCTAACATTCGACTGTGAATTTGACCAACTATTCGCCCTACTATTCCACTTCTACTCCGACCTAAACGGGTTGTCCTTCCGCCGACCACCTCCACCCGGGCTTCGCTGGGTACCCTGGACACCATTTCGCTTCGCTGCACACACCGGACAGTCCCGCTTCATGGCCCCAGGCCTACCACCGCCGAAGTACTTACTTTATCCCCTTCCTACATTCGGCTGATACATGACCGAACCGCTTTCAATTAAAACAACGGGTTTTATGGCCCGCCCTAAACCCTTCGCTGTCCTTTGGTTCCGCCACCGCTGCAACCTGTACATCCACCGAGGCATAGGCCAGGTCAGGCTCCAATAGAACCTTGGCATTGTAACTTGGTGGGGGACAAAAGCTTCAACCGACGACCTAACCGTTTCGAACTTCCTACCTAACGCGACTAGTTCCGCCACTGACCCCGGTGTAACTAGTCCCAACTGGGTTTGATGAAAGGGGAGAAGATTCGCCCTAATGGTCCCTAACATCCTACTCTCGGACAAAGGCTCCTGCAACCTTCCAAACATGATTTTCATCGCCGCCACTTACACTCCGATGGACTCATTTGCTCCCTGAGTCCGCCGGCGTATCTCGTCCATCAACAAATCGTCGTACTTGGAGGGCAGACATTCTAACTTCAACTCCCTGACCAGTTCCTCCCAGCTACCTAACGACCTCCTTCAGTTTCAGTTCTACCGCGTCCCGGTCCTCCTCAAAGCTAAACGGGTAATCCTGGAAGAGGTCCACCGACCCTGTTCGCTCCAAAAGCCTGGACGCCCGCGACGACTTCCGCATAGCCTCCACCGACGAAACCGAGAGACCCCGAGCCTCCATCTCATACGCCAACTCCTCTTGCGATAATCTATTAATTTCCATGCCGAATAAAGCAAACAAATCCGCGAAAAGCAGCAAAAAAACTAGTGAAATAAAATAAAATCAGCGGAAGCAAAAAACTCTTTAAAAATTCCAAAGGCAACCGAATAAATCAAGAAAACCCAACCGAAAAAACCGAATTAAAATTCGAAAACAGAACAAAAAATTAATAAAACCGCAAAAAATAAAAAATTTCAAAGCCGACCGAAGTTGAAAACCCGCAAAATAAGAACCCTAAAATAAATTTTAAGTCTAGGACTAGTTATGGCTCACTTGAGACCACTTCGCGACCGGTTGGTATCCTAATGCCTACACATTAACTTACTGCTGGATAGTAAGCTGCCCTATACTGGCACAACAAAATGACCCTATCACGCGAGACAGCAATAGAGCCTAACCACAAAAAAAAAACCAAACAGAATAACAGGTACTACCAAATAAGACGGCACAAGCAATTACAGTGTTTGCTTATAAACTAAGTTACAGTTTACGTTTAGGTGTATGTATACTTCACCAAAAACAAAGTGGAGCGGCCAAGCTAAGTTATCAATAAGTTTTTATTATATATCTTTGATAAGCTTGAAAATTAAGGCAAAATACTCCCAACCTCTTGGGAGTTTACTCGGAAGCGCTTCAATATTTTCGTTGGTTTTAGATTTGTTTTAATTTTACCGGCCTAACACTTATTCACTACTACTTATCACTTTTCACATGCCGAATGTCCGTCCGCACTTTATGTAAACGCACGCCACTACTTCTCTCCAGATAATGGTCCGGTCCTGAAAATTTCCGCCAACGCACAGTCTACAGTACAACACTCCGTATGGCTCCGTGACGCCAAAAATTACCACTTGAAGATGTTCGCCCGACAACCTGTAAACAAAATACACCAAAGGCACGAGTAATACGTTATCAAAATTTCGCCAAATATGGACAAACTCACGGTTCTCCTCGGAATACTACCGTTTCGTACGTATAAAAAAACAAAATTGTTACCCTCCAATCGTCCGTTTCCACGCCGCCACGAATCATTAACACAAAATCCTCCTGAATTTCTACTGCCAAAAGGTTAAAAAAAAAAAAAATTAAAATCCAAAATACCAAAAATAAAATTTGTACCACAAACAAAAATCGTGACCCAGCCTTATGTACACAATATATAAACTTCACAAAATATATTTACGTATGTATGTATATACGCGTAGCACAGCACTTTCCACTACACTGTTTTTCTTTAAATTTCTACGCCAAACTCTCACCTGTAGCTTGTTTCTGTAACTCAGTGGAGAAATTGTCTACTGCTATTGACTTTGTTCTTAACCACCAAGCTTTTGTCAATCGTTGAGACTTTAATGTTTCTATAACTCCGAAAACTCACCTATAGAGAAATTCGTGTTGAGTTGAAATTGAAAAGTAAGTTTGAAAGTTTTGACATTTATTTTTGAGAAATGAGTATGTTACACAAAATTGTGTAAATCAGCAAATAATAAACAAATGAACAAAATAATAAGAATTAGAGACAACTAACATAATTAATTATTTAACATAAATTTTATAAAATGAGTGAGATACGTGTGATCATTTATGCTATAATGTACGATAACCGAAATATGCTTCGAGTTCAACGTCGGCGGTTGCGAGATTCATGTGATCCATTTATAATCCCTGAGGCGCGTTTCATAGAACTTTTTCGGCTAAATAAAGACGCTTGCATAAATCTTTTGGAGGAAATTAATCCTTTTATGAAGAGTGGTGTTAGGAATACATTTATTCCAAAAATATTTGAGAGTGGTAGCTGCCCTTCATTTTTATGCAACTAGGTCATTTCTGCGCGATATTGGGCAGGATTTCATTTTCCCTTTAAGCAAAACTATGATATCACGCATAATACACGAGGTAACGGATATCATAGTGAGAAAATTAATGAACAAATATGTGAAATTTCCTAGTACAAGCTGAGAGTTCAGCACCATTCAGCAAAGGTATGCAAAAACAAGAAATTTTGAGTTGTGCCGTTATTGCAGAGGACCATCGATATGTATATACAATAGTACTCACATTTTAATTTTACTTTATACAGGTTTCATGTGTGTACAACATTTCCCGGCGTTATAGGAGCAATTGACTGCACGCATGTCAAAATTAAGAAACCAAATACAGATGTGGAGCACTGTTATCATAATCGTAAAGGTTTTTTTTCAAAGAATGTACAGCTTATATGTGACTATGATTTAACGATTCTTGCTTGCTATGGTCATTTTGGAGGCAGCACTCATGATGCTTTCATATGGAGTAGCAGTCACGCAAAAGCTTTCTTAGAAGATAAACATAGAAGTGGAATATCAAATATATGGCTACTTGGCGATTCGGGGTATCCCCTGCAGCCATGGCTTATGACGCCGATTGGAAATCCGCAATGCGCAGCTGAAATGAAATACAACGAAGCCCATATTCGTGCTAGAAATTGCATTGAACGACTAAACGGTGTGCTGAAAAAAGTATTTGCTTGCTTATCCCAAGACCGTGGACTTATGGTTACGCCATCATTTGCTGGTTCTATAATCAATGCTTGTTGTACATTGCATAACTTTCGAAAGAAATACAATATTGCAATGCCAGATGTTGATATTACCGAACGAAATATACTTGAAGAAGACAATAATCTTAACTTGTCTAATAATATTTTAGCCGAAGGTCGTAGAACCCGGCAAATGATCATCAGAAATTATTTTTCAAATTAGAAAAACTAAAAATGCAGTTTTGCTACATTTGTTTTTTTTTTAGTTTCGCGAGTGTAAAACTTACTGTCGCAAGGTGTTAATATTGTGTTCTTTACTTTGTATCTATTGAATAGTTGTCCGTCTGTTTAATGTGTGTACTAAACAATAAACAAGTTTAAATATATATATTTTTGGAATTTTTATTTACTAAGAGCTTTTACAATTTTTTCCAGCAGTTCATTCGTCCGCCGTTGTTCCCCTTTTATCTATTTCAGCTCTTCTTTCACCTCATTCATGCACCTCTCCTGACTGGAAAGGCGAGCTTCAAGTTCTTTTTTTGCCTTCTCTAGCTCCGAATACAGTGGTTCCTTGCTCTGCTTCGAATTTTTAGCTATTTTCCGCCGTGGCGTGTTTATCGGGCTTTTGTTTTTGGAGCAGGTGGTCTTGCTGACAGATACCTCAATGACATCCTGATTCAGGTACTCCTTTTCCATACATATAATGTCATCGTCGAGCGCCGGCTAAATTTTAAGATTGTTATTCAGAGAAAAATTTATCAAAGGAATATATATTATAATTACAAGAGGTATATCGAATCCACCCTCCACAGTTTTGGCATCACCATCAACAACATCCGATACCAAAATGAAGTTAACCACTTCTTCTTCCAAACTATCTAATGGCTCTGGTCCTAAACAGCTTGGAAGGTTTCCCGTCTGGTTTTGAAACCTTTTGATTGCGGAAAATTTTTGCTTTATGGACGCCTTCCAATCAATCCAACACTAAAACAATTTATTAATTAAAATTAAAATTTAATACACAATCAACTACAATATAATATATATACATATGTATATACTCTTTTCCACTGCTCAGCACTTTTATTGGCTCCCCCGATTGCATTTAAATCCGCAGCAACTTCTTCCCACTTTTCCTTAGTTCTCTTGGAGCTATCCGGGCCAGAGAACTGCCCACACGCCAGCGTACGGTTTTGCCGCATATGCTCGACTAGTTGTTTTTTTTGAATTTGCGTTACGCGCGCTGTTAAACTTTTCTAAAAGTAAAAATAAATTTAAATATAACAGATTTTAAATTAAAAAACATGACTTACCGTATTCATTCTCAACTCGTTTTGTCAGTTCTCACTTGCTAAAGAGCAGTTGACAATATCTCTACTAGTAGAGAATTCAAAACTCTACTCCCCACACTTACAGAAACACAATAGTAGAGAATGGCGTCAATTTGACGTCCCATTCTCTACCAGTAGAGAAATAATCGGTAGAGAACAGTTACAGAAACGAGCTACTGAATAGGGTCACCTCATTGTTCTGCAAACCTGCCGGAAAAGATCCCACGTAGCTCGATTCTTCTAGAAATTAAATTTCCTCTAACGACGAGGGCCCCACGTTGGGCGCCAATTTGTCACCGGTGCACTAATATCAGATCACCTACCTAATGTACCAACTAAATGCACTTACCGTGCGCAACAACAATGCAACGGGCCAAACCAAATAAACAAACGACCGCACAAAAAAGGAGATGAAAAAAAAAACCAATCAATCGGCTGACTCAGTGGAGAAGGCGGGGTTGCTTGAGGGGGAGCAATAAGGCAGTATACCAAATACCTAGCGCAAACTAAGTTCAAATTGGACAAAAACAATGTAAGCTAATACCCAGCAAACATTGAGGTTAGTTATGTAATGTATTTGCAATAAAATAATAACGAATTATTTGAACATAAAAAAAATATGATTATGATGAATATTGCTTATTTACATTTATTTGAATTTGCGTTTTTTGTCTAATCGTTCTCGAATCGAATTCTAATATAGTTCTCTAAATTCCGTCATCGACTCGAGAACGATTAGAGAAATACCCTAGTTATCTAATGTAGAAATCCAAATTTCTCTAACGTTAGAGACTGTGTTTGCTGGGTATGTACAGTAGATATACGTATATGTGTGTAACACTGACACTAGGGTGGGGGCTCCGACCGCGAGGTGCTCCTTGGGAATGTGGTTCCCAAATCCGGTGCCGACTATAACGCGCCTCGACTGGCGCCGCTCTCCAAAAATTTTGCTGCTGCTGCAATAGTGCCTCGTCCGGCACTTTAAAAAATTGCTTTTTACCAAAAAAACGCAGCTGCCAATAATATTAACAAAATATGCTGCGCTCGCAATACGGGTGTTGCCTGACTCGATGCTCGTTCAGATCTGCCCCGGCACGCAGTTGCGAGCCAGGCCGCAACCTACGCACCGGTAAGCAAACCGTTGGCGTATCAGCGCCAGTTTTGTTGGTGCCCGATAAATTGGCGCCGGCCCGATCATTCTAGAAGCGAATTGGGCGCATTAGCGGTCGCCACCACGGCGCACACAAACAAAACCATGGACTTGCCATTCCCATCATACGGCGGACAACAAAAGTGCCGCAATATGTGAAAGCAAAGGCGACATCTCTACTACGGTCTTTCGCGTCATCTCTCATTCCTACATTCTTAATTTCGGTCAGCACCGTTTTGGGGCGGAGTGCCCTAATGGAGACTTTTCCCCTTTGTGGTGGCGCTCCACCGACAAACAACTATTTCGCTCAACTTGATCTCAGCCTACTATTTATTTGGTATATATATACATATGTACACTTGAGTGCCGGTAGACTTCACTCCTATCGGTTGGAGTGAAAGACTCTTGAAGGTGTTACATCATGGCTTTGGATTACGAGCTGACGTAGACGAATAGCTAATACTGCCGATTGGAGCTCCAAGCGAAGAATGGAGGTCAGTTCCAACGGGGCACATCTGGTCTTTCCCGACACGAACGCTAATTGAACAACTCCGGATGCTTCTACAATTCTCCAGTAAGCTACCGCCGCATAAGCTAACTCACGCGCATCTGAAAAGATGTGCAGTTCCACTGGTACGGTCATAAATGAAGTGCTGTAACATCGCGGTATGCTGAGGCTGGCTAAATTTCCAAGCATCTCGACCCATTTCTTCCAAAGGACTCCTGCATCTGGTGGTATTTCATCGTCCCAATCAACCTGCTTCCTCCAAGTCGTCTGTAGTAAGAGCTTGGCCACCAAGGAATACTCAGCTTCTAGACCGAACGGATCGAAGATAGACTTCGTAACACTTAACGCTTCTCGTTTAGTGTCCAATCTCGTTCCATTCAGTAGATTTCTGTCAACTTTCTCAAACGCTTTGGCTATTTCTCCTCTTTATTAATGATGTTGGTCTACGCTTTAAACATTCAAATTATTTACTGTATGCAGACGACTGGAAACTCTTCCGTAAAATCTCTGTTTATCTCGTATCCCAGTACATACCGAGCACCTTTTGAAACCGCTCGGCTTCTTTATCGAGACTAAAAAGTTGTCGATCTTCCTGGTTTTTGTTAAATGTTCGGTTAACCAATGCGGAGTTAGAGAAAAAGCGTTTAAGGTCGAATCCAGCTCTCTTATGTACCCACACGATTTCGGGGATAATTTTCAGAGCATCACGCTCAGTAGGAAAGGGATGTACCAAATCATCGACATAATGATTATAGCACTGACAGCCTCAGGGAATTTGTTTCTAAACTCCAGAGCATTATACTTTTTAACGTACTGTGCCGAACAAGGCGAACAAGTTGCTCCGAATGCCATGACTGCCATCGCATACTCTTTGATTGGCTCGTTCGAGTTGACTCGCCAGAGAAATCTTTGCGCTGCTTGATCGTCCTCTCGTATTTTCACCTGGTGAAACATTTCGACGATATCCGCGCATACCCCGACATTTCGTTGGCGAAATTTCATTAGAACAACTGCTGGAAGCTGGCACTGGTCAAGCCCACTTAATAATGCGGAGTTAAGCGAGCAACCGTCGACTCTTGTTGCGGCGTCAAATACAAGTCTTAGCTTCCCCGGTTTGCTTAGGTTGTATACTGCGAAGTGGGGGAGATACCACGTGCAGCCATCGTTAACTAATAATTTATCATCGCGTAGTTGCCGCGAGAACCCCTTTTACAAATATTCTGCAATAACATTCACATAATCTCGTTTGAAGTTATTATCGCGTTCGAATTTTTTCTCCAACAGAAGCAGCCGTTTTTCTGCCATTATCCGACTATTTGGTAATTCTGGATCTTTATACCGCCATAAGAGTCCAGTTTCGAAGCGCTCACCCTTACGCACCGTCGTACGCTCCAACAGAAACTTGGACCTCTTAACGTCTTTGCTTTCGACGTTCTCAGCACATCGTACACCTAGGTCGTCACTAGCTACGAACTGTTTCACCAGCTGATCAAGTGCGTCGCTCTGGCTACAGCCACATGTGTAAGGAACAACTAGCGTACATCCTCAACCGATTCTCTTCCAGCAGGACCATACACGACCCAACCTAGCTTGGTCATGATTACTGCTGGACCCTTCCAACTATCTCTGGCGGCCCGATGTGCAACTCCTAAGTGCGCATTATCAATCCCAATCAGTAACTCTGGAACGACATCGGTGTAGTTGCATAACTTCTTCATGTGGCGATACTTTGATGAAAGCTTCTCAATGTTTAGCGTCTGCTTTGGTAGTCGAAGGTCGGACACCGTATTTACGTTCTTCAGATTAAGTATTTTGCGGTCTTTCGTTATCCCGGAAATTCCAAAGTGCACGCGCGAAGACATCTCCGTTGCTGTGTTACTACCGAATCATTGAAGCGTCAACTGTTCCTTTTTTCCTTCCAACCCAAGTCTCGTGGCCAAACCTTCGTTCATCAAAGTAATCGCCGAACCTTCATCGAAGAAGGCATAACTATTGATTTGTTTGTTCCCCGCATACAACCGTACCGGGATGATTTTAAATAAAACCTTTCTATTTTCAGGCCTAACGGCGGGGTTGGTAAACGTTCGCAGCGCTTGCTGATTATTATTATTATTTATTTCATTTGTACATTCATTCAGAAGCCTATGTGTCCCTCTGGTCGCCGTGCTTTGACTACGGATTGAACAACGATTACCTGAATGCCCCTTCGATGGCGTAAAAAATCGCTGACGCTGATCATCGCCCGATGCCGACTGTAAACGTTCATTTATGTTAACGTATGCCACACAAACTACACGAGCTAATTCTTGCAACGGTAATGCGATAAAAGCATATAATTTGCAACCCCACTGAATTACTACAAACTACCTTATATGAATACGCCCTAGGCTAATCTAGTAAAATTAAAAACATGGAATTTACGATATTTGAATGCGACCCTGTCATATGTATGACAGCTGCTAGGCTTATGTCAAAATGTGAAAAATATATTGGCGGCATTCGCCCGCGTACCTTCAACTCGAACACAAGTACTTTTTCTTTAAATTAAATTCGACCTGATAGCCACCAAGGCATAGGTGCAGTCAGCAGCTTCGGGCAACAAACGTTTGCCTGCACCAACGCAGCCCCAAGCAGGCGTTGGCTGGAATCAGAGCCGGCGGAGCACCTACATATATATATATATAAAAAAAAAGAATTTGGAAACAAAATGTAACAAAAAAATATAAAACGAAAAAAAAATGAATGAAATTAGTTGAAATAAAATTTGTTGGTGGTAGTTGCAGCCATGGTACAAGTATTTAAAGCAAAGAAAATCCTTACAAAAATTACAAAACTCAAAAACTGACAACGCGCATAAATGCATATATATGCGCATACATATGTGGCGGTTACAAACAGTTACAAAAAAAAAATGTTAATTAAAAATATAAAGTGGTGGCGGTGCAGAAAATTGAAAAATTAAACACTTGAGAACTAAACAAGAAATAAAACAAAATACCTGAATACAAAACAGGAAAAATCGGTAAACGGTCATAAAAAAAAAAAAAAATACCAAAAAAGCGGTGGTACCCAAATTTTTAATACTTTATGAAACAAAAATGGCTTAAGAACGGAAAACTTGAAATTAAAACAAGAAAAAAAAAATCAAAAAAAAGCGGTGGTCCCAAATTTGAACAAAAAAAA